ATCTTGCCCTGTCCGACGGCTCCCTTCACCCACTTTTCTGTTGTCTGATACCTAATGTCCTGTCTGGGACCAGGACGTGTGTCCTGGCAAAGGACCCCTCTGTTGGAATCTTAAAGCGCCGTGTCAGAGTCATCCCAATCCCGGGTGTCACCCCGGTCCTGTCACCCATGTGGAGTCACGGAGGGAAGGTGTCATCCCAATCCCAGGTGTCACCCTGGCCCTGTCACCCATGTAGAGTCATGGAGGAGTCACCGCAATACGTCCCCGCCTCCTACCTGGATTCAAGGACACGTGAAGCGGTAGGCTTCACGCTCCTTGTTAGGAAACATTTTTTAAAAGTGGGGGGGGACTGTTTTCCCTCCACAAGTCCAGAAATGTACAACTTGGATCTTGAGGCCCACACGCCCAGGGTCAGCCGGACGCCGCAACACGTGGGCCCCCATGACGACCCAGGGCGAGATGGGGAAACCGAGGCTCTGAGGGGTGGCGGGCGGGAATGCGGAGGTGAGAGCTTGCGGGGTCCCCTCTGCGGGCCTCAGTGTCCCCCTTGCCAGGGGCTCTGCGGGGGACGCGCAGGGCGGCCAGCTCACCAATTCTTCGCCAACTCCTGGTAGCGCGGGCCCAGGAACCTGGTGAGCATCGCGGCGCACTCGAAAGCGCTCAGGGTCACCCTGGGCCGGCCCGACGCAGCGCGCAGGCGCACAACGCGCCGACAACCCCGGAAGGTCTTGGCGCCACTTCCGGGCCTTTACGCGGGGGCGGGACTTCCGGTCACGTGGTCTCCGGACTCCGGTTTTCTCTCTTGGTGCCGGACGCCAGGGTATATAGTCACCGGCTGCATTCTTAGAATGTTCGCCCGATGGTTTTTGTGCCCTCCTGAGTGTTTTGATGCTCGAATGAGGCACCGGCAGCCAGCCAGGCTTGGGCTGGCCCTGGACCCCACGTTTGGAGAGGCAGGAGCGGTCACTGATCCGCTGTGCGTGCCCCCGCCCGCCCGATGGAGGCGTCCATCCCAAAGACCCACACCCACGGTCATGGAGGCGATGCTGACGGACTCACAGCGACTCTCTTGGACAGAGTAGAACCGGCTCTGTGGGCTTCCGAGACCTTAACTGTTTATGGGAGTAGGAAGCCCCGCCTTTCTTCCCCCTCAAGCAGCTGGTTTCGAACTGAAGGCCTTGCAGGTGGATCGCCGCCCAACGCATAACCCTCACACCCACGCCCCTGCGAGCAGCGTGTGAAATGACGCGTGAGGCCAACAGGCAGCCCAAGGCGTTTGGGGGAAACTTTACATTTATTTTTAAATGTATGGAGAAGGAAACGTCGGATGGGAGGCATGTCTGACCACGCGCAGTTGTCCTGTTGCCAAGCGGTGCCACGAGGCCATTCCCACTCCTGGTGTTAGGTGCCGTCCAGGTGGTTCCCATTCGTAGCAAGCAGGACAGAACACTGCCTGGCCCTGCAGCGCCCTCACGATCCCTGTGCCGACTAAGTTTATGTACTAGAGCAACCCTGTCGTGATTATCGTAGGTGTTGGGCTCTCACCCCCAAGCCAGCAGTTCTAAACCATCAGCTGCTCTGAGGGCGATACCAGGCCTTTAATTCCCGTAAAGAGTTAGTCTTGGAAAAACCCACGAGGGCAGTTCTATTACGCTGAGTGGGAAGCCATTCGGAAGGCAGGCTTTGGTTTGGTGGACACACTAACCACATGCGGATGGCAGGAGAGGGGGAAATGGGGCAGCTCGGGAAGCCCAGGGCCATGAGTTAAGGAAGGACCTTCCCTGAGAGCCTCCAGAGGGAGCCAGGCCCAGCCCACACCTTTGCTGAACCCCTGGAGCCCACAACGGGCAAGAATGACACGTGGTGTGTGCTAATTGGTTATAGCAGCCCCAAGACACCCCAGGAATCCTCATCACACTGCTCAATGGGGCAGTATCAACTTCTAGAATCTTCTGAGTCCCATCTTTGGCCACACATACACACACTCTCTCTCTCCTGAGCTATTCCTTCCTGGGCTGAACCAATCCCCACCCCCACAGCCACTCACAGGGAATGGAGAATGCTGGGAGTCACTTCTTGCCACCGAGAGGTGTTATAGCCTAGCCAGCTGCTTGGACACAAAACGTCTGCTTCTGCCCAACAACCAAAACAAATTTTACTCTTCTTCTGAGGCACGCCCCACCCCCAGACACTGGGTTCATCTCATTTTGCACCCAGCCGTGGGATGCTGTCCAGTTGATTGACTCACAGTGACAGCAAGTGACAGGATGCGGCTACACCACGGGGTTTCCTGGGTTAGTCTTTAGGATGGCAGGTCACCAGGTCTTTCTCCCGCGGGGCTGCTGGCTAGGGTTATCAGACCTTTCAGTTGGCAGTTGACACTTTAAAAAGTTGTCCTGCGAGATTTTATACGCAGCAGAGTTCCAAACGGCATACGGTCCTTGCACCAGAAACCAAGAGGAAGGCAGTGGCTCCCATCCAAGTCTGTGGGCCCTGTGTGTCCCCCGATGTGATGTGGGGACAGACCTCGGCCACTGCACGCCATTAGGAGGATTTGAGTTGAGGCCGGAGATGCCCCCAGTCCCAAGCCTGGGCCATGAATACTAGCTCCAATTTCCAGTCCTTTCTGCTGCCCTTTGGGTGCCTGGCTGTGGCCTTTGGTATTCCAGTGTTGGAGGGGCAGGCAGTCTGGTAGGACTGGCGGTGTGTGTAATGTCTTACAGGGCAGACAGAGGATACAGGAAGGACTGGGCCTCTATTAGGGGTGGGGGGTGTTAAGAAGCCACTCAGCAGGCTGAGCCCACCCCTGGGGTGCCAGAGCCCCAGGGGAACCTGTGATGCGGCCTTCTCCGGAAGATCCAGCGATTCTCCCCTCTGCCTTCACCTTCCAGCGATAAGACGAGTCCTGTGATGAACAGGGCCATTGGAGCCACACGACCTTGCACCCACTGGCCTGTGATCTTCATGCAATCTGCATCATTGCACGTGGTTATCGGAGTCTGAAGAGGGACTTAACAGACTTGAGACCGGGCTGTGTGGAGGGTGTTTTCCTGTTAACATGAAGCTTCTTGATAGAAAGCTTTCTTACACACGAGTGTCACTGGATTTGTCTTTCCTGTCAACACAGCTAACACAAGGGGGTAGCACGAGTGACCTGTGCTCACCTCACCCTGTGGTTGTCAGTGTGAACCCAGCTGCACCAGAGGAAGGCCTGCCGAGTCAATCTGGTGCCCTAGATGACTGCCACTCATCTAGTTGCAGTGCCGTGTCCCAAGGGCCTGGGGGGAACTACTCCAGGGGCTGGCAGAGCGGTGGGGGTGCGGGGGGTGGGTGGACTGCCAGGTCTTTCTTCCCAGGCAACTCTGGGCAGGTTCAAACCACCAACTTCCCGTCAGTAGTGCAGCATGTAACCGTGGGCACCATCCCCAGGCTTTCTCCGTAAACACTACATCCAAGGAAAAAACCCTTGCAGCTCCATCTCTACCTAACACACGGCCCCCCGGGGTCAGATGGACTTGGGTCACAGGTTTTGGTGTCAGATTTGGTGAATGGGGCCAGACAGATGGCAAGGGCTGCTGGAGATCATGGGGAATCTACAAGCCCACCTCTAGTCACACATTGCGGGCAAGGGCATTGAGGGGGCAGGAGGGTAGCAGTGCCCCACACCCACCCAGCAAAGCCCCACAGGGACACGCAGAGGTGGCTGCGCCTGGGGTCAAAGGACGAGGGGCAGGTGTGTGGGTCATGCCCTGATCCTGCACTAAGGAATGCTGTGAACACAAGGTGCTGTGTTCTGGAGAGATCTGTGGGTTCTGGTGGGGGAAGCAGGGGAGCTACAGGCTGGGTGTGGGGAGAAGCAGCAGCCAGAGGGCCAGGAGAAGGGGCAGCTGAGTCTTTGGGGTCTCAGCAAAGTGGATCCTGGGAGGGGTCCTTGAGGTGGTTCTGGGCTGAAGGCTGCTATTCACCACCCCAGTCCCTTCCCCAGACAGGGCAGGAGTCCCCTGAAGGGGGGAGGGTTCTCACCGACCCCCATCTACTCCGTAGGTCAAACCAAGGTGAAAGCCAAGCCCCTCAACTTCTCCATGAAAATCCTAGAGGCCAGAGAGTAGGCTGGCGCTGCTTTGGGTCTCCCAGGTCCTGCAGGGCGGGGGCTCGGTGGCCCAAGGGTGGGCTGGCTCTGCCTTGGGTCTTTCTGGTCCCGGGGAGGGGTGGGAGGCTCAGGGTCCTGGTGGATCGTTTCCACCCAGTTAATCAGGCTGAGCAAAACGCACCGCTTGGCTCGAGAAACAGCAGCAGAAATAGCAAGAGACACGAGACTTTTATACAAAAACATTTGTTGCTTACAAAACATATGCCAAAAAAAAAGAGCTTTAAAAAAAAAACAATAGAGACCAAAGGCAACATCCTTGCTAATTTTTCTGCTACATTAAAAAAAAAATCTCATAACTAACGTTCTTTTTTTATTTTCCTTAAAAAAAATATGACGCGTAGGCACAATTTGCTGGTGGCTCTCAGGACCAGCCAGGTTCACACGGCGTCCCCCTCCGTCTGCGGCACGTTCCGACTCCTCCGTGCGGGGGCTTAAGGCATTTTTTCTTTCTTTCCTCTTCTCGGACACAGGGTGTAGTTTCTGGCCCGTGCTTTTTCTTTCGCTCTTTCGTTTCCACAAAAAAAAAAAAAGGAGAAGAAAATGCTCCTTTCGGCCCCAGTCTGAGATGTGTATTCGGGGTCCTCGGGCGTGGTGGCCGGGACCTGCAGGGGAGGCTGGTGAGGGGCCCGGGCCCGCGGGGCTGGGGACAAGGTGGCGGGGTGGGCCCCTGCGTACCTCACATGTGCCCGGTGGGGTTGTGAGCCTCCCCCAGGCCCGGGTGGGCGGCCGACAGCACCATCTGGGGGTCCCCGACCACACCGGACACTTTCTCCTCCTCTCGGCGCTTGAGGCAGGCTGCTTTGGGGTTCAGGTTCCGTTCTGAGGAGGGGAAGAGCATGGTGGGAGAGGGTCCTGCACACACAGCTGGCTGCCGTGCCATCGAGCAGGCTGGGGAGAGTGGGGCGCGAGGAGCAGGGGCGGAGGGCAGACTGACTGTCCGGCCGATGGCCGGGATCTGCAGTGCCCGAGTCCCGCCCCAGCGTGGGCCGGGTGGGGAGGGCGGGACCAGAAGCGTACCTCGCACCTGCTGCTCCAGGCCCAAGATGACCTGCACGGCCTGCTGCAGGATCAGCAGCTTGGTCTGCGCCTTGTCCGACTTGAGGTGCAGCTGGCACATGCGGCCCAGCTCCCGGAAGGCCTCGTTAATGTCCCGCACGCGCACCCGCTCCCGCGCGTTATTGGCCATGCGCCTCTCCCGGTCCCTCAGGTCTTTCTCCTCCAGGGACAGCACCTCCTCTGCGCTGCTGGGTGCACAGCACCGGGCCCATTAGTCGGGTGCGTGCAGGGTGGGCACACGCGGTGCTTGTGTGGGTGGTGTACCAGTGTGGGCACAGGGTGTTCATGCGGTGGTGAACTGGTGTGGGTACAAGGTGGCAGGGATGTACAATGTTGGTACACCATGGCAGCGGCATACTAGTGTGGGCACATGGTCAGTGTTGGTCCCTGGTGATGGCGGTGAACCAGGTTGGTATTTTTACAGTGTACCTGCGTACACTGTCGGTGGTGGTACCTAGTGGTGGTGGTGATAGGGTAGCAGTCAGTACTGGAGGTACTGCCATGAGAGGACACGGCTGGCATGTTGGTGGCATCTGGCTTGTGTGGTGTGTCAGTGTGGGCACATGCAGTGGCACATGATGTTAATTAATGGTTTACGAGTAACGATTCGTGGTTGCTGTTGCTGGTATACCAGCATAGGTATACGTGGGCTCACAGAAGTGGTATGTGAATGTAGGCACACAGCAGTGCTAGTGATGCATCAGTGTGAGTATAGTCAAGTTTGTCAATGTAGGTACGTGGTTGGTGTTGTACCAATGTGGGTTCATGGTTGGTGTTGGCGGCAGTGTGTGTGCGCATGCGCGCCCACGTGGTTCCCGGTGTACGTGGTGGTAGGGCAGTGTGTGTGTGTGCCTGCGTGGTTCCCGGTGTACGTGGTGGGGGACAGTGTGTCAGGGTGCTGGCAAATGTACGACAGCTTGAGCTTCGATTTGTGTGCAAAGGTTCCTGTAGTGCACGCTCCCAGGGATCGTGATGACAGCCGGCTATGTGGCCAGCCACGTGACAGTGGAGGGTCCAGGACAGGTTGTTCCCAGGGGCCTGGATCCAGGATGGGGAGTCTGGGCCTCCTCTGCTGCTGGCTTGTGCAGTGCACACAAATGTCCCTTTCTCTGTCCCTTCCTTCTCTGGCAGAGCAGGCCGCGCTGGGAGAGGGGAGCTGGGCCTGGCCGCTGACCCCCAGAACTAGCCCACAGCTAGTCTCTGAGACCCTAGTATCCCCAGAAACGTGTCTGCCTGACCTAGCCTTCTACATGCCCAAGAGCCAGGCGAGTGCCCCCAAGCACGGTGGGAAGAGTCAAGGCCAGCCCAGTCCAAGCCTTCTCCTAGTGCTCACTGGCTCCCGGCCCCCAGCCTCAGGCAGCCCTCTCAGCTGCTCTCAGCTGGGAACGACTCTGCTCTCTGTCTCAGCTTCTCACCTCCACGCTCAGCAACCCCCCTTCCGTGCCTGCCTGCTCCTGGGGGGCATGGCCCACCCCCTGCCGCAGGCCAGCACCCAGACAAGCGCGCAGACCAAACTGCCGGTGCAGACCGAGGCGGGCCGCCCCGTTCCTTCCGTCCCCCAATTCCCGGTGCCAGGCTTTGAGGGAGGGAAGGTTCGAGGCAGCAGCCTGCCAGGTGGTCCCCGGGCTCGGGCAGCAAGTGCGAGGTAGGGAGGGGCGGGGCAGGGTGGGGAGCGTGAGAGACAGAGCACAGAGGTGGGGTGGGGAGACACGTGGCACAGCAACCCCCATGCCCCGAGACACGTGAACCCCAGAGCGACGAAGAGACAGCGGGGTGGGGGCGGCGCGGGGGCCAGGGCCCCGGCTCCGGTCCAAGCAACAGTGCTGCAGGAGAGAAAGTGTTAACGGGCCACGCAGGTGAGAAGGCGTTAGGGGGCAGCTGCCAGCGAGGGTGCGCAGGGCCGGCGGCCCCACTGACCTCGCACTTGCTGCTCCAGGTTGAGGATGACCGACACGGCCTGGTGCAGGATCAGCAGTTTGGTCTGCGGCTTCTCACTGTTGAGGTGCAGCTGGCACATGCGGCCCAGCTCCTTAAAGGCCTCATTGATGTCGCGCACCCGCAGCCGCTCACGCGCGTTATTGGCCACACGGCGCTCCTTCTCCCGCTCGGCCTTCTGCTCGGGGGGGAGAAGGTCGTCCTCGTCCTCGTCTGGGCTACGGGGCAGGGGGCCGGGGGGG